TCAGAGGAAATGCATATGGTGATAACAGCATGTGCGGTAAAATTTAATATGCTGATTTATACATGTATACAGCTGGTTTTCCTATAATACTATTTAGGAAAGTAAAAATTGAAGAGTTAGGCAAAAACCACGAGGAATACGGTAGAAGCTGTCCGTAACGTGTCAACTTATAATGTAGCCCTTTACCTTATTTTGGCAATAAAATAAGTTAGGTGACTGGAAAATTTAGAAAGATGAGTTCCTCAGAAGACTAGAGAAGAAGCAATAAGGAGTCTGAAATTAAACAGTCAAGTGGTCATCCTAAATTAAATTTAAACGGTAAGCTGTTGCTTAAGGGTGTATAGAAGCTTTGGATGCCAAAGAATAGTAAAAGTGAGACTAAACATTTTGCAAATATGAAACAGTATTCAGATTTTGAAGCCAAAGTTGAGGAGCATCGGAGTTTTGCATGCTCAGAGGTGTCAAAGGTGTCTGATCTAAGTAAGGTGTGCTAACTTCATGTCGAAAAGGGTAACAGAAACTTGAAATTCAATAAATTGATAAATTTTTATAGCTGCGAGCCATTTGATTGCAAAAACTAACTACTTCACACAAAGTTTTAAGGTGCTAAAATATTAAACAACGTAAACTTTTTAGAATTTTGTCATGCTCTCAGTACCACAACAATATTTTTTAGGATTTATAATTAAACGCCGAAAGATCGACAATACCATAAACATGATTATTTAAAAAAAAAAACAGTTTTCGGGCTTGCAGTGATAAGATTTCTTCTCTTGAAAATGCCCGATTTTGAAAATGTAGAGCTTATGTTGAAGCCAAAACCTCGAAGTCGACTTAGGACAAACATTCAACATCCAAGGTTGCATAAATGAACGGATTACTTTTTTTGACTCACTTTTAATGAAAAGTTTCTTGACCGATACCCAAATAGTTGACATATTTTTTTCCACCTATAGACCGAATACTCAAGAAGAAAAAAAATGTGAATTGCTAATAACAGTGATAGTCAAAAAATGTAAAACAGTTTTGGGATAGAACATTTTTCTTTATGCCTTTGATGTTGATATTCATAACAACGTTATTTTGTATAACTGAGAGCATGCGAAATGTTCAGAAAATTTGTATTGTTTCATTTTCTACCATGTAGAAATTTTATAAGTATTAAATACCTAATTTTCCAAAACACAGACTGATAGAAAAAGAGTTGGACTAGATATCAAATCATTTGCAACAATCAGATTTTACTCAGTTCTAAATTTAGAGCAAATTTGGGCGTGTGGCGCTTAATTAATAAAAAATATATTTGTTGAGCAGTTTAATTCTTCGCCGATCTAACGGCGCCGGAAATTATCAAATCTGAAGATCTGTACTTATGTTTCAATAAATTCTACAACTTTGTGGAAACTGCGTGTATTGGAAGCCCTAATTTTGTTCATATGAGTACAACACCCCAAATTATTTTTTTACCTTCCGATTAAAGCTAGTTAAAACTCCCAATTCTGATTAAATAAACGGTTAGTAACGTTGCGAGACGGTGCCAAACATTTAGAAAATTAGTTTAGGTTTCAAGCAATCTCGTTTACAGTTTTTTGCTATGCTGAATTTGCTTTCACATTTTAGAAATTGCATCCAATTTATCCATGTAGAAAGCCGAATAATCCCCTAGAAGCTTCGCACTACACTAAACCGCTTGATTACTTTTGAAAAATAACCGTTCTTGAGACTTACATTAATATGCTAACTTCATCCAGTCTCCCGAATGAAACAGACTAGAATCCGAAGGTTTTCATTCACCGCTAAAAATGTTCCAGTTCTTTCTTCATTCATACCTGAGCGAATCTGGCAACTGCCCAACAAACTTAGAAGCGGCGTTTCACTTGCAATCCCCTTTTATTAGCTGTTTCGGGCTGAACTTGTTTCAAGAAGCATTCAATAAATTGTGGGCAATTCATTGAAGATGATTTAGAGATAATTACTTTTAATTAATGCCCACAACATTGGGCAGCCATTATTTTGAGCTTTAGTGCAGTGGCTTAAACTATTTCTAAACTACTTCATTGCGCCTACAACTTAGTAAAAAAATGTTCGTTATTTCTAAAGCTCACTTATTTAAAACGGACAGTTAGTGTTTATTTTTATGTGACGTAATATATTTTCAAATAATTTCGAATGTTCGGCTCTATTTAATTAAGCGGCTTAAATTGAACCGTTAAATTGAACAAAAATACGCGTAGTCCGATACTAAATTCGGCGGATTGCAAAAAGAAAACAAATTAAACCAACTTCGACAATTACATTGTGAAAATCCGAAGCTTGATGGAATATTTTTTCAGGCAAGCTTTCCACATTTGCATATTTAGCAAAATTTGGGATTGTTTTCAAACGTTTTCCACAATAAAACGTGCCAGGGAGAAGCATCATTTAAAACATGCAAATTAAGTAAGTATATCTTATTAAAGAAAAATGAGCACACCGAGCTCGAGTCATTACTGGAAAACTTCATGCGGATGTGGTTTTGCTGAGAATTGATTTTTCACTTATTACCTTGGCACTGCCTTTGGAGACCGCTTTATTCATGAAGCTTTTATAGTGCCCGAAATTGCGCTTTCAAGTCAATAATACGTCATTTAAATTCATTCAGGAAAATTCCTCTAAATCCGATATTAATGTAAAAGAGAGTTTCGCATTAGCATTTTTCGCTAAGTATTCATACATGGGTTAGACGGCTCATCAAAATGCATAGTTTGGGACTTTTCGGGGACATTTTCGTTAATGCAATTTCCCTGAAAGTCTTTTATATTTTCTGCTTTGCAACTTCAGTAAATAGTGGCCCTAAACGCAGAACATTATTATTTTAAATGAGGAAAAATTGCACTCATACTCAGAGCAACTGGGAGCCGCACTAGACAATAAATGAAAATTTTACTAGGCAAACAGGAGGCGGCTTGCTCATAAGTGAGAGTTACAAGACCAAACAAACTTAAAATAAATTATTATGTAGCTCTCGTCTAGATACAACTCTAAGTGAGCACCTAAATAATCAATAAGAAATACAGAACGATCTACTAAAGTGTACACGTTAAGTCGGGTCACGAACAAATGATTTTAAAATTAATATATTTTTTTGTATCATGAGGGACGTAACAGCGGATGCTTTTCATAATTTCAGTGGTTAGTTATTTTTAAGTACCTGATTTATGGAATATGTGACGCAGAAACAGTTTAATACAAAATTTACCTAACTAACTGATACACAAAGTTATGATGGTGTTTCAGTCACTGAAAATGCAGGCGTTACATCATTAATTTTTGGCAGCTAAATATGATTATGTTTAAAGCTACCTTTACAAATAAGCGAGTACTTTTTTTGTAAATTTACAAGACATTTGTGGCATTTTACATAATTAGCCTCACCGAGCACGGAAGCACTTTTATTATTCAGCGCAACAAGATCATGAATAGACGATTCCTTCGGCGCTATAATCAGTTAGAATTTCAATATACTCAATGAGAAAATGGCCGAAAGGGAAGATCAATTCTTCAACAACAAAGCCTGTAGTGCAGCCTCCTCCATCAGCCGCAGATTAAATGATATAGTATTCTATTTTTGGTTGACTCTTCTCCATCATGTGATGCACCATATAGACATAGTATAATATGTTACTCAATTGAAGCGCAAAAATCGATTTCACTCCAAAATAAGACGCTATAGATAATTTGAAAGCAATATCATTCAAGTTCGAAATAGTATTGATAAAATCATCAGAAAACCATCAGTTATAGTAAATCACGTGCCCAGAAAATAAACGTTACCGTCAATACAACAATAAATTTGCTCACGAGATTTCTTTCTGCTTTAGGGGGTGTCATATTTTCATATTCGTATAACGTGTGCAGAGGATAGAATTATTTTCAAAGAGCATTTAATTTTTTTTCGGATGCAATTTAGTGGGATAATTTGGCCAATAAAAGTGCCAATTTTTTTTTGCATACTTTCCCACAACTCGAAAAAGTCACAACTCTTAAACTGGAAAGTACGGATTTTTTATATAATTTCAATGCATATAGAAGAAGATTTGGTCAATTAAGAAGCGAAATTTGTTTTTGGAAAATGTACAACTTTCAGTGAGTTAAAAATGTGGCCCAAATGTGCACGTCGCTGCTTAAAAAAATTAAAGTTCTTAAATTGAAGGCGATGGAATTTTCAACTTTTGAATGCTTATTGACGAAGCTTTTGGTGATAACTGTACGGAATTGTATGTGGTTTTCAATACTCGTTGATTTTATACGAAATTTGCAATTTTGGATTAGACGGAAAAGTGACCCAAAGGTTCATGTTCATACTAAAAAAGTTACAGCTCTTAAACGGGACACGACGGAATTATCTTTTGAAGCCTAATAGAAGAAGCTTCGGGCAATAAAAGTATAAAATTTTGACGGATTTCGATAACCCGTTGATTTTCTAGAAAATTTTCCAACTTTCAGTGACTTAAAAATGTGGACCAAATGAGCAATGGAGAACACTGTACACAATTTCAGGAGCATGTTTGTTTCTTTTATCCCAAACTTGCCAAAGAACGGTTGTGAACTGAACAGCATAGATAAAGACGAGTACGAGTACGATAAGTACGAGTACTGTGCTGAACAGTCTTGTTATTTGTTCAAGATATCATTGCAGGGTGTTAAATGTGCCTTTTCTAGTTTTCTATCTAAATCTTCTAAAATAAATTGCGGTAATAACTCTAAAATAATCAATGGTAAAACGAATCAAAACCTTTCTAAATAAATTAATCACGGCTAATGTTAATGCTACCTACTGATTAGACTAGAATTCATTTGTAATCCACTCGAGATACTTCCTCGTAATACTTAGATACAAATATTTTCTTCATGTTTCGACAGTCGCAAAAAACAGCAAATAATAAGCTATTTTAAATTATTTACTTTGAATTAAACTTGAATAAATGTTGAAAATCTACAATAAGTAAAACTGCTATTTATTCATGTTCAGTACGTGCATGTATTCACGTGAATATTGTCGTAGTTCTTCATTTGTTCACTCTCTGCAAAAAATAAACGATAAAAACCTGAACCAGAATTTGAGCGTACTCTGTCTCGAAAAGTTTTCAATAAAAACTGAACTGATAAATGGTTATTCGATATATCACAATATTATTTTATGCTGCCTGGAGCGGACACTTTTCAGGGGAACGGCCGCTAAAAAAATAGGAATGCATCAAAAATAACATGCCAAGTTTACCACTGGTATAAAATAAATGGGATAAAGTAGGTGGTTGCATAGAATTTTTTTCTGTAATTCATATTAATTTACGACTTGAAGGCCCGTACACGACTTATACAACTTTACACATAAAATGAAACTTTGGTATCTGGCACCTTCCTGGTACCTAAAGAGTTCTTCTCTTGAAGTTGGTATGCCTATTTAACCTCTCCCTTCTAACGATAAACTCTCTTGTATGAGGTAGAGTGATTTTCATTAAAATATACAGTTTTTCTTTTTGCATTCACAAAATTCACATATTTTGGTAAGAGCTTATTTTTCACTCACTTGTTATTAGTCGGTTATACACTTAGCTACGAAACTTTCAGGTTGGGTTAAAAGTATGAGAATCCTTTCCTGAGCTAACAGACGCAAACATACCTCTTAATAATGCTTTCACTAATTTATTATCTCGATGAAACTCCTCGTTGCAGTAATTTTTGCTATTTCTTTGAGTAAGTAATTGTCTGTGATATTTTGGTTACTTAACTTTGCGTGTGATAGCTGAGTGAAATTGCTGGTTCAACCGAAAATAGATCAAACTTTAGGCCTTCGTATAGAAAGGTATATTGTAAACATCACTCTCCGTTTGAGAAAACATTGGTTTGGGATAAACGGATGACATGCGAATAAATTTTGATACCTCGTTGAGGTGCTTTAAATATTTTAACATACCTGTTAACTCTTTGTTGGATGACATGCTTTTATGAGGGTCATTGCAGCTGGAGAACATGATTGATTGATATATGAAGTACTCACAAACATTCCAAATTGAATTGGATTATTAATCTGCAAAAGCCATTATCATTCTCGGCGCCTGAATATTTTGGACAATTTTTGTTAATTCTTACTAACATATTACTTTGTTTCAGATGCTAATATGAAAAATACGGTTAAGCAGGGTTACCTTCTTCGATATAGACGTAAGTATTAGAGATAATTGTAAACATATGTTTATTTTTTAGAGCTGCATTTCCATTTCGAGTTTTCAGGATTTGTAAAAAAATGCAATTCTCATTAATGTTAAACTTTTTAATTACTGAGAATGGTAAATACAGAGCTTCAGCAAATTGCATGTATCTCATTAAAAATTCACGATGTATTTGAGGAAAATTTCTCTCTTTGAAACGCTCGCACTGTAGGACATTAAACTCACTTGGGACGAAACGAGAAAGCCAAGGGAAACTATAAACAATGAAATTTTTTAAAGCAGCTCTACTATGCCATTGTGCGGCTTTAATATCCTGTAGATAAAATAAGAATATTACAGAGCAGCTTAGGATCTTGATACGGGTATATCATATTCTGGAGGAAAATAATTGGGAGTTGCTTATCAGGCCTTGAAATTGGATATCCTACAAGGAAGGGTGATATTTCAGTGGGAAACACGTGAATAAACGATATAGCTTTAAACCGGAAGCTAAGTTAAAAGGTTGAACGCTTTTCAACAATGGATATATACAAGAGAGAAATATGCCATAAAATCAAATGAAAATGAATGTAGGAAAAAGATATAAAAGACTCCACAGTAGAAAAATAATTTTAAATGTGAAGCTTTTAACAAGAAATTTCCAGTGGAAAGTTAATTGGGTAATAAATTTCGGTTCCAATTTAAATGGAGCTGAGAACGCTACATATATCCAATTTATTTGAAAAATCCGACTGGTATTCATCTGCTGCCATCTAAAACAATACTACTCAAAATTGCTTCTCTCTTTCCAAGTAAAAACTCGGTTAGTTTTCTAATCGAACGGATTTGTACATTTTTTTTGGCAGAAGAATTGGACATCGGATTTTATCTCTATGGAGGGAAACCAAGTCGAAAGTATATTTGTATGGCTCTAAGTCCCTTCATTAACTTATGTTTTCGTCGTATTTATCGACTTATCGATTTATTTATTGTATTCCAATCAACAATTACTGAATATGGCAATCATTAAAACTAATTTTTAAAATTTGTAATAAAAACGTTATCATAAACTATTTGATGTTATTTTACGACTGAATGCCCATTTCTGCTTAAAAAATCAAAAATTGCACACGTCAAATCGATTTTTTCTTAACTGCTGTTAAATCTGCTAATCGCATGGAAACTAGACAATTTGATAGACCCTAAAAAGTTACAAGTTAGCAACGGAAGAAATACGGTAGATAGAAATCAATCAACCCGAAAAATAGGCTCAATTAATATCGAAAAAATTTAATTTGCGCTTTTCGATCATGACCAATTTCATATTTTAATCGGAGCGTTTTAAGGCCTAATCGTGTTTCACAAGGTCCTTTTTTATCGCTGCAAAATGAACGAAAATCCCGCCGCATTTCTTAATTACCCCCATTTTCTGAAAAATATATTTATCAGCCTCGCTCCACTGAAATGAATAACTGTGTAAACCACCAAGTGTAAAAAAATTATACATCTCTAAAAGTCTGTAATTTTCCCTGCTAATAAAAATTTACTTATAAATATCTGCCCGTTTCTACACTTGAATTCTGTGATAATAATCACTTGATGAAGTTATTCGTAGTTGAAGGTAGTGGTTTTAATTGTTAAAGGAAAATACCTGTTCATATCTGAGGCTAAAACTGTAAAGTTTTCAATCTCCCACGCTGTCTAGTTCACACTGATTTAAAAGCAGAGGCGAGTATTGGTGCTGGAAGTTGGCCTTTAACATACGAATACATTTATTTCCATTTCAATTAGTATTTGCATTTTGATTTAAATAAATATTGTGGACAGAATATGTGATAATTGAAGTTCGTATCTTTGCACTTTCGGTCCAACAGGATTAATGCAAATTCAGCCAAATCATATTGCGATGTGTCCAAAAGTAAACAAACAACAGTTGATGGTTTTTAAGCACATATCACTCATTTGTCTCATTTTACATGTTCACATGGCTGATATGGATTTAGGTTGTCTCAGCTTATCCCTCAGTGCGTTTACATGAACATTGTTTCGAAACAGGCGCCTCGGAGCTTGAACACAAATTTAAACCCACAAATAACCGATTTTTTCTATGTAGAAATGCTATATAAATCTTGCGTTTTGTCTGGGATCTGCGGATTAACATAACAAAAGAAAATATCTGCTGTATGTGTGTACAATGGAACACTTTTTTGCGTTTCGACTGAGCTCCTATTTAATATATTAATTCGCTCTCACAATTCATAGATTACAGTGCGAAGCAACGGCTAATACTGGTATTTACTACAAAAATATATAACAGCAAAAAAAATAAATAAATGTGAACGAGGCGGTAAATTCGGTTTGGATTAGTAATCTTAAAACTGCACATTTGAAAATTGCGGTATATTTAAATGGTTTTGAACAAATTACAAATAATAGCTGTGTGCTTTCTGCTTTTATTCAAGCAAATTTGAATCAACAAACAATAAATCATGACTCATATGGAAAGTTCACATTTTTTTGTTACAAACCTTTTAAGTTTGATGTATGGCGGCATTTAATTTGAGTGGACCGCATTCGAGATTGAATTACCGCACGTGGATCAGAAAGAAAATCGATACAGATGCGAATCTTTCAATGGGAAAAATCAAATATTTTTGCTAAATAACAATAAAAGATACGTCTACTTTATTCATGTGATTCACCCTGATAATCGCTAAGGAAGTAATAATTTCGCGGTTAAAATTATTATCAGCTATAGTATAAAAATAACGAAAAAAATTGGCAAATTTACAACTGTTTAGCCTGTCTAGAAAGAGTTTAGTCTTTCAGACTTCTTTCTTCTTTTTTTTAGATTTATTTCAGAAGCATATAATTCTGAAGGCATTAACTAATAATCTCAAACTCGACTTGAAATTAAAAAATGCTTTAAATTTTGATATGAAAATAACTATAATAATGAAAAATATAAAAAAGTGGGAGTTTTTTTACGAACTAAATTGTATTCCTATTAATGGTTACGTTACATGTTTGATGTTATATTTTCCTTTATAATGAAGTTAATTAGCGTACATGTAATTGAAATGCGAAGAACGTGTGCTAAATTAGAGGCCATAATTACGTTTCGCTAATATGCATATATCTCAATTAAGCTGCAGTAATTTCGAGAAATTTTGCAAAACAGGCCAGTTGTATTGTATATTAAAAGCTCTATATAATTCATTTCTTATTCATATTTATATATATCTTTCTGGAAAACATTTGTCCACTTTGAAAGCATGACATTCAAATTTCGTGTGATTTTTTGTGACAAATCCTCCAGAATTTACTAACGCACGTTGTAATAATTGAATCCAATAACCAAATAAAAAATCTAAAAACGCGCTCTGTGGCTCAAATAATTCTTGACTAACGTCAAAAAAGTGGGCAATATGTTTCAATCGATTTCGCAATTAAAAAAAAAACATGCAAAACTGAAGCTCTAGACTTTTTCTTAACCAAAAACATAAAACTGGATCCCAAATTTCCATACCTGAAGCGGTTCTTTAGCGAAAAATTTCAGGTGAGTTTGATATAAAAATACAAAGCCTCCCAAAATATTCCCAAAGTTTAAAAATTAACTATGACAGAGCCAATAGCTCAGTTGTTAGTTAGTCAGCAGTTGATGAATATGATACTAAAAGTTCTACATATGCATGGCAACCAGGGGCAAAGTAATGCTAACCTTACTGGAACTACACCTAGGAACTGGACACCTGGAAAGAAAGAAGAGAATGGGTTGATTACAGCAGGAAATCTGCCCAAAGCCAAACTTATCGGAAGTCAGCAAAGCAAACAGAGAGAAATATAAAGAATCCATAAAATTTTAGTTACTTGTCGGAAAACTAAACTCAGATCAACCTAAAAGATTTATATATTAGAGATCAGTCCTACCAGATTTCTGCAAGCTGGCGCCCCATCCTCGAAAAGTTCACTACACATTCTCAAACTATCGATTTTGTCATAAGGGCCGCAATGATTCCAGATTTCCCATCTAAGAACACGACACAAAGGAATATCTATCGATATCGTCCACTGTCGGCAGAAAACTGAATATTCATACACCTTTTCGAAAAAAATACACAGATCTACAAAATAAACATGATTATTTAGTCATTTGCATGTTCGCTCTTTTGATGATTCATTGCTCTGCTCTTGCTTGGAAGTTAGACATCAGTTTGTTTACTTGTTTGTGCGCATAATAAACAATAATTAAACCAAGCCAACAACAACTAAACGAAAAACGCTCCAAGCGCCGATGTTTCACTAATTGAATTTTAAATTTAGATCCATTTATATTTGTCTGAATTTTACTCAGTGATTAATGCGCAACACCAAAACTAAAATTCATAAGCGAATTTTGAAACCAATTTTGTTTAGATAAAAATATTGACTAACTAAAAAAAACGCGACCAAATCACTTAAAATAAAACTGTTGTTCAATTTCCGAGCGATGATCGAAACCAACAAAATTTCGACAAATTAAAAATGTCCTTTAAAGTTCTGGTTTCAAGAATAATGGCCATAAGCGCCATAAGCGGAATTCGAGGTGCGGCTCAGTGAGGTGCGATGAGTTAAACCACCAACTCACAGAGCGGCCTCAACTGAAAAGCGCAACTCAACCAGATGTGATACCCAGGCCTAGAAGAAGGTCTGATAAAGATAGAACCAATTTATTACAATCTATACATCCAGGAAGGAACGGATTCTAAAAATTTCTATAAAAAATTGTATTAAGCATTCATGCACATGGAATAGTTTTCTTTGTGATCTCTAAATAAAGAAAATGTTGTTATTTTAATGAATTTTGATTGTTTGAAGATTTCGCTGCTAACAACAAAATTAACATCTATGTTAATTGCGAATTGTACTCTAGTACAGTTTCTTAAAACAACAAAATAATGTACCGTGGATGGCCGAGTATCAAACTTTTTCTTCTGCTTCCAACTTTTATTCACCTCGGTATAACTTTAACTACGGAACAGGAACAAACTAGCTTCTAAATTAACGTCAACTTCACAAACAATAACAATAACCGACGGAAAACTCGCTCTTCCGACTCACGGGGTTCAATCTCTTCTGCACCCGGTCGCTYCTGTCACTTCACTCTCCCTGTCTGGTTCTCGTCGTCGCTTATATAGTTTCCTCCAGGTACCCCGATAGTTCTAGAAATCTCCAGAACAGGTGCGAAATTTCCCGCTTGTCAGTGTCAAATTTGACAGTAAATGGGTCCCAAATGGGGCTCCCATTTACTGAAATACCATGAATTTCGATCCCCCATTCCAAACGTAAGTACCCCAGGCCATTTCCGTTACAATAAACATGAACCATTAAAATGCAATTTAAAGAAGGGCCGACAAAATGTCTTCACACCAAGTTAACTGAACTTTGATAATTTTGATTCACGCATAACCACATTTTCAGTTAACAGGGTAGTAAGAGCAATAAATTAATTATGAAACAGCAGCGATAAAAAAACGAAAAACAGCACACAAAGAACCAATAGAGAAACAACAACCAATTATCTTTTACCAAGTATTATATGTTTTCCAGTTAAATCGCCAATTGAAATAACCGTTTACGGTACTTAAATACGTTCGTATACCATTTCTAGCTGAAACTTTTGATTTATATATGCTAATTTGCTTCATTTTTCCTTTTGCAAGGCACGTTTCGTTTTCAATGCTAAAAGCCATTTCAGACTTGTTTTATTTTAGCGCAGCTTGACGTAAAAAGGAATATATAAGAAATTTTCAACACACGAACAGTTTTCAGCTGTTTATTCGCGTGGAATAAATTCAGTTCCAGAGGAAGTGGAGATGAAGCCAGCTAGGGCTCAATGTACGAATTTTCGTTTCTATACGCTATAAGAACAAAATTTATATTTACTAGCAAAGTAATATTAGACTATGATGGCTCTTAAATAAATGTGCAAATAATACTGCGAATGGGGGAAAAGTAATGTAGGTTGATGTTTCGACCTCCTTGATACTTCGACTTTTATTTTTTATCCATTTTGTTGGTTTATGCGATAATATATTTTTTAACATCAGATAATATTAAAGCAAATACAACAAATAATCTAAACATTTTGTAACAAGCTAAAGGGTTGAGGTAAAAAGAATAAGTCATCCAAGTACAGCAACCACTTCTTCAATTAACCAATAAAAGTTAATATTAATTAACAGCAATTCTGTAGTGAAGGTGCAAGATCAGTATTATAAAAAATAACAAAAAGCTGAAATACTCTATAAAACAGTCATGGACGATATGGAAACTAATACTCCAGAGGAATTCTCTACGGAAACGTTTCCTCGTGAATCATTTCCTTCGTGTAGGCAGAAGAACGTCGATATTCTTTCACGTCGGTTGATCACCTTTGTGGAACATTTATCACGAAGTTGCCGGTCTAATGGGGTTTAAATTTCCAGAGCATTAGTTAACTTTAGAGTTTGCAAGTGGAGGCATGTTTGCTGGCCAGTTTTTTGTTGTTCTAATAACGAAAATTTGGTAAAACCTTGGTAATGTATAGCTAATAAAAGAGTAGGTTGAATAATTAAACTAAGGATTTTCCTAAGCCAAGATAAATAGCCTTTCCAATGGGCGTAGGAGGAGGAATAGAGCGAATAGAGAGTAAGGAAACTAATAGAATTGTTTAAGTTTAATAACCCACGCAAAATTACTTAATGCTATTGCGGGTTGAGGTAAAATACCGCAAATATGGAAACTTTATAGATCTTCAGAGATTGTTAGTCAACAAAATAATATAAGTATGACATTCTCTGTTTAAATAATGTTAGCATAAAAAATTAGAGTATTAAGTTTAGTTGCTATTCAGGACGCATACATTTTCAACATTTTTCAATCACCAGTTATTTTAAGCGTTCAAACGCTGATATTTCAGTGGTTAGACTCTTTCGTCCTGTAGGCGTCACTCTTACTAAGCAAAGTGCACTTTTTTTGTTAAGAAGTAGTAAGTATTAACTTATTCTCACATTGAAATGACTCAAATCAATTAAAATTTGTACATATCTCAATCACGTTTGTAGGCTTGGGTAACTCGGTGAATTTTTACGAGTTGGCGCAGTGCTACGCAAATGGCTTGCTGCGCCAACCCAACGCACCGGCGCAGTAAGTCAGTTTCATAGCTTGGAAAATGTTGATGACTTTTTTACTTGTTTTTAGATTTATTTTAAAGGCCATTTAACTTTTCCAGTTTTTGGCAAGTTACTTTTTCTTCTCAGCTCAATTTCACTTAAAAATGTTGGCAAACTTAACGTATTTTTCGTGAAATATTATGAAATAAATATCGAATCTTTGGTCGCTTTGTTAAAAGTTTTGAAATCCCTTTCCAGCGTGGAATTTGGAACAAAAATGAAATAATTTTCTATTAAAAAACGGACAGAATAAGCGAAAGCTTATCACAGATTATTTGAAAATCTCGTCTCCTCAATTACTCTGAAGACAGTAGAGTTTCTTGTGTGGTTTTTTAGGTTTGACTGCCTATTTTTGCTTTGCTTTCTACTCAAAAACGCTCTATTTTGTAGAGTTTCACTTAAAAATACTGACGATCTGGTGGTCTTTTGTGCGAAAAATTACAAGATAAATTTATAGCTTTGTAAAAATTTTCCAAAAACTTTTTTCATTGTCGGATCCTAGACAACACGAAAATAAATTCCTCCCCTTTTTCCTTGAAAACCATTAAGGTTTTCTACAAAACCGATCACAAAAGTAGTGAATTTTGCTAGAAAATTCGCCTGATTTATCGGTTAGCAGGGAACTTGGAATACCCTTTTCAGTTTCGAATTTGGCACAAAAACTAAATAATTTTATTCAGGTTTTTACCGAAAGTAATTAAGATTATCTTGAAAAAACGGCCAGGGAGCAAAAGTTTACAAAAAATATTTGGAAATTTTCCGGCTTCATAGCTCTGAAAATATTTAAAGTTTCTTTAAATTTTCAGGTCATTCCAGTTTTAAATAAATTGTTTATTAACCAATTCTTTCCACGCAAAAATCGCATTATTATTTAGTTACAAGATTGGCAATCTTCAGATATTTTCTGTGAAAAATTATAAGCTAGATTTTATTATAACACTCGCCTGCTTAACCGCTTTGCAAACATTTTTGGAAAACTTTTTGCAGCTTCGAATTATGGACAAAAACTAATAATTAATTCTGGGTCTTTTTCCAAAAATGTTTCCCAGACTGAAAATGAAAAGTTTATAATCGTTTATTTGGAAAACTCTTGGAAACTGGGGTTTCTTCACTTTTAGGGCAATATTTCTAAACAACACTGTCACCAAATAGAAAACCGGGGTTTTCCTAACGTTTTAAAGTAAAAAAATAATAATCTGAATCTTTTATGCGAAAAATGAAGAGATCGATTTTACAAGCAAACTCGTCGACTTTCTTTGGACTCAGTTTTGTTGCTGGGAAAATGTAGATGACTTTGTTTAAGCTGTTTGAACATAGTAGTAAAAGGTAAATCAGGAAAAAATTTAATGACCATTTTTTTGATATGCAAATTTCAGTCTCGGGTCTCGTAAAGCTATAATAAATTACTTATAACTTATTAACCGATGAGTTATAAGAGAGCGGCAACTACTCATTAGCGTAACTCAACACAACACAGTGTTACTCAGGCCTATAAGTTTGCAGTGTAAGGAAATAAATGAAAATGTCTTTATAATATTAAATTTACATGCAAATAAAAATTCCTTTTCTTAAGTGTTTTAAAATTTCAGCAGTAGGAGTTGAAGAGAAATCAAACTTTGATTTAGGAGAAAGTTTGCATACAAAAATGTAATTAATTACGGTAATATATTTTTATGGAAACCTTTTCCATCGTTTCAAGAAGCCTTTATAGTTGAAAAATTTGCGATAATTTCCAAGGTTTGGACCGCACTTAAAAAGAATGGTTTGAAACTTGTTTGATTGCGAGAAATGTTGAATCTTTTCTTTAGTAACTCGTTAAGAGTAGCTTCAAAAGTCATCAGGTTTTGCGGGAACTTTTATGTCCAATAATTCGAGCAAGTTTGCTATTCTTTATTAATCTATAACGTCGTTTTCTTGGATTCTGTTAAAATGTTGTCAAGCTTATTAAAGAACTAGCTCATAGTCGATAAAATGTTTGAAAAAGTTTTATTTATCGAACTTGTTTTGCAATGAAAAAATTTAAAAACTTTAATAATGGAAGTAAAAGTTGAAGTTAGTATGTAATAGATTAGCTGAACAATGGGAAATACTGACAAGGGAACACATTAATAACATATATTCAACTTTATATATACAATTGTGCAAAACGAGATATGTTACTTCCTATTATACGGAGATAGCTTTCAGCTGTTTATCCACCTGGAACAGACTCGATTTCGGGCGCAATAGAGATAAACGTTTAGAGATTGAAATTTGACAAAAATACATTAGTTGTAATGTTGTAAGATCATATGAAAACGGTTTCAAGCAATGCTACATTACAGTTAATTTAGAAAGCAGACAGTTAAAAGTAGACATAATCAACAATGAAAACCCTACACAACAGACGACCAAACAATAAGAAAACAAAAAAAAATGATACAACATATTTTTTCTAATAACGAATACAGGAGACATTATGCAACGCTTGAGAAGGAATGCGTGTGCAAGAGAATGTGGATTATTGACGTGTGCACTTTGCGTAAATTGTGTAAATACTTAATCAAATCGAGTTTTTTATGATATAATGTGCAACAGAATTGTTTTTCTGACATAAAATGGTTCAGACTTTGCTTACAGTTTTTTTATTAATCGTTACAAGGCAATTGCCTTGTACGTAGTATTATATTGTTATTTTTGGTAATAAAACATACTTTAATTAGACAACAAATTCGTGTCTTTGTTTCTTTCTTCTCCAGCCTGGTCTAAACTTAACCATAGTAAAATAGTACTTACTACGTTTCTAGAGAAGAAGAAAGAAGAAAAGTGAATGAAATTCTCATTTTCCCAGTAATCAGTGCTAAACTGTTTCAAAACACGTCAGCTCCAATCTACTTACTTAATTGTTTCGCAGTCTATACAGTTCATCAATGCAAAATGACAAATACCCTGAAACTGTTAAGGCTCCTATTATTCTAAGTGCTTGCCAGCAGGTTCAGCAATTAAGGCCACACCTTCCTATAAAAGCCATCACCTTTCAGTTCTTTCATTAGTGCTGCATGACTGGTGAATTTACATTAATGGAGGCTGCGTCCTTAAGGTTTGCCTTTTTGCGGAACAGGTGGAGTGAAAAATTGGTGATTGGAAAATATTTTCCTGCCAAACGATCGAGGTTTACGTAGAAAGTCTCCTAAAGCTTCCAAACTTTCTCGGAATTTAAAAGTTTTATTGCAATTTCGGTTCAACTAGGTGATGTGTAATTTGGTAATAGTGTCTTTAGAATTCCCAGTAAGTGGAGAGAAAGGAACTAAATTGAACTATTTGAGATTTTTTACAATTTGAATCCTTCGGAATCTTCCTGGAATGTGTGTATTTGAAGCATTAAGAATTTTCGCCGCATAATAAAAGGCTGATTATAGAAATTTTTGATCAAATTAATAAAAGCGTGGAACAAACTAATCTATAGCCACTTGGTGTAAAAGCCATTAATTCACGTCAAGAAGGGTCTTGTCCAATTGTTTATAGTAATAAGGGTCTAGAAACCAATACAATTTATGTGCAGGGTAATAGTTTCAATGAACAAAGGGCTTGTATATTAATACAAGCTAATTTGGCGAATTCAACTGGGGCTGTTTATACTCGAATTAGTTTGTTCCTTAATTAGGTGTAAAGTTATAGATTTCATACAGTTTCAAACTTCGAGTAAAATGGGAAATGGCTTTCGTTATTTAAGTATATGGGAAGTTTCCAGTTGCATTTTTTACTGAACAATTTATTGATTTCATTTAATAGTTTTGGTTCAACCTTTGCAAAAGTTGTTAGCAACTACTATGTGATCATGTTATCAAATTTTCCTTCAATTTAATCACATGGCTTACATGTAGAGGCATATAAGGAAATATTTGGTTCCTGTAGTCGCAAGTTTGGAAAATCTAAGACTTGAAGTAATACTTATAAGCTTGTAAGTTTCCACTTATTAATTCAGCTATTTATGTATCCTATCGAAATCGAAAACTTTGGGGTATTTAGAAACATATGTTGTAGAAATCCTTGCACACAAGTTTTTGGAAGAAGGGTTTCTAGAGTAATGGATTCGGCGAAAAGATAATAGAGTACTGACTAGATTTCCAGACATGACCGCGTTAGAGTTTTTTATTTCCTTCTTTCCTTTCACTTGAAAGACATGATGTACACAACGGAGTGGAGACTCTTGAAGCACTGCCAAGACGAACTGTTGAGGTCTGATAATCCTGCCGATGCTTGAAAATGTTAGGACTCGTTTTGAACAAAACTTCTATTATTGTTAGGTAGCTGGCGGGGAACAGTTGGAGCATCTACTAAAATATTTTTTTAAATGTTTTTAAACTCATGTTCTTACTTTGCAATTTCATCCAAACATTCCATTTGATAGTAATTGAATCACATTTGTCTATACGTTTGTATATATGTTTAAATCTATTTTCATATTAATATTGATAACATTATAACGAGAGTCAAATGACTTTCAATGTTCAAACAATGTACCAGATTCTCGATTCTAATTTCGATGTAAACCGTTTGAGACGGACATACTTTTTGAACATACAATTCTAAATTTCCAAAATGGCCTGTTTCGTTTCTGATAGGCCACCCTGTATGTACTATCAGTAAAATCATACTCGTAATATAAGTTTCCAGGGGCGTCGAAAGTGTGCCATCTCAGATATCGTGGGCTTCAGGCTAAAAATGACCAAGTCTAAAATATCAGTTTTTTGCTAAATTCACTTTTAAACCGAGCTAAAAATTATACAAAATCCTTTTGGAAACTTGGTTATTAAAAATATATTTCAGTTTACCAGTTGGTGTAGCCTCTGAGGACTTCGTCGGTTTTTGAAGACAAATATATTATTTTTGTAAATTATTTGGTCAACAAACTCAAATACGGCAATTTTGGACGAAAAGCGACCGCTTTCAGCTTTAAAAAGTGGTACTAGTAAGTTCCTAAAGCGCTATAACTAATAGCACTTGTCTATCTGGCGTATGTCTGTGAATACAACACATTGTAGCATTAATTTACATATACTTGTCAAAAATTTCAAATTTCAATACTCAAATTTTAGATCAGCAAAACTGTACTGCAAAGGTTCCAAATTGTCTTTTTTTGGAATAAATTTTTCATGTCATCTTTATACTGTTGAAGTTCTCATTTTCAACTGAATTGAACTTTACATTTGATTTTTATAGCAAAAGTAATTTCTGGGCAAATTCTTACGTACATTTTACGACGTAAATACAAGTGAATTTTTAACTCAGCACGGAGTCTCATTTCACTTATTATCTTCACGAGGCAATAAATGTATTTTCCTGGGATTTATCGTAAATATGAAAGATTTAATTTCATTTCGAAGAAATATAATTAATTTAAGTTCCGGCACAATTCTTGTCTCAATTTCAAGTTTGCTTCAATGGGACGGAAAAGTTTATAACGATTTATAGCGATAACGAAAAACACGTGACTTCCAAAGAAACACCTAGTTTGCTATTCATTTATTATTTGTAAAGTTTCAATATCCGTTTATTTCCGTCAAATTCCACAAGCTTTTCCTGGATTCTTAGAGAATCACAACTATAGAAAGTTTCGCATCTTTTAACAAACTATATTAATTGAAAATTGACTATTAAATAAGTCAAACAGACAATGCATTTTAACAGATTATTTATTACTGATTTAAAGTCAGTTAAATTAGAAAAATAATTAGAACGTTTCTTTCTATTCGGCAGTCAATAGAGCTACAGTATGAAAATGAGATGAGATTGAGAATTATATTTTTTGGAACTTGGAACGTGCACAACAGAAAGCATCCATTAATGCCTGACCGACTAAACTATGAATGATCTACCGGAAAATCGATTCGACATAAAGAAGTTCATTTCCCAGTTTTCCCACGAGGATGCTGCCGTCTGGAAGTCCGAATAATGCATGACTGAGAAAATTGTCCGGTTTAGGTTGGATAGAGACTATTTTTCTCCGGAAATTATATTTTAATCTAAAGGACATAAAACAGCCCAGGCGATTAAGCCCTAATTGAAATATGGTGTAGAGAAACTTCCACTCAGCGTATTACAATAACTTAACTTAATGGCTTTAATATTGAAAGCGGATAATGTGTAATTTAGGCTAATTTCCTAGAAGTTATATTGTTGTAGAATGGCTGAATGTTATTGCTAATCATTTGGGAGAATTTTTTAAACAATCTAACTGTAGTAATCCAATGCTTATTAAATATCATGTTGCATATTTTAAAGCATGTGAAGTTAATTATGGTAATATTTAAGGCTTTTTCACAATATTTGTTCTCAAATACCAATTACCCTGGATTTTCTTGTAAATGGGACGAGAATAATATCTTCGCACCCCGGATTGATTAAGCCAATTTTATATTTTGTCGCGACGTCAGCATTTCGACGATGATCCTGAAAATCACATTAGCAAGGACTTTCGCAAGACTTTTACTTTGATAAGGAGTCTTGAAAATAAGCTGGGTATTGCAAATCTGGCTAATGAGTTTCCTTTGATATTGAAATACGTCTCTTGTCTTATAGCCAGCATTTTCAAATTGATGCTAAAAAGGATTTTAATAATTAAAATATATGTACTAATGGTTTTGAATTTATAACTGCCAATTGCTTCAGAAAAGTTTATTTGTCTTAATTGATATTTTCCAGATAGTTTAAACATTTGCCAAAAGAAAGCAGGGTGCAAACAAATATTGCAGATGAATGCCCTATGGTCTTATTGATATACTACCAGGTTAATTTTAATAATTTAGACAACAACAATGCAAAGTTTACTTGCTCTTTGCAAATTTAGAAAATTGTAATTAAATTATTACCGAAAATGAAAATATAGCGCTTGAAAAAGGTTAAACACTTTGAGAGACTGAGTTATTTCATGTATGTTTACGTCCATTGATTTTAATATGCAAATCAAAATTTTCTCCACTCTTGCTTCACAAAACCTTACAAAGGAAATAGCTCTATTATTTCGATTTGATATTTCGCAGAGGATTTTTGTAGCATTAAGTGATTTACACATTATAACCAATGTCCATATAACTTCCTCATCTTAGCATTAGTAGTAGCTCATAGCTCATATTTTTTATATTCGTCATCGAAATCTAGTTGTATACAATATTCCTACAAGAGCATCAGCTTTCTGTTCCTATAACTTGCTCTATTATCTTATTCTTGTAAATGTTGCTGAACTCGTGTTTTTATAGTCAGTGTGTGGTATAAAAAATAATTTCAGTTAGTCAGTCCTTGATAATTTGTTTCAATTTTTTTAAACAGTTAAGTGTCCCCTAGAAGTGTTACTAAAAATATGAATCAAGGCTGGGAGAAGAAGCAGATTATGGAGAAAGACAAGTTGGCAAAACTTTAGAGCAATCAACAGCGACTGTTAATAAAAAGTATTTTATTTTAACAGATTTTAGCACATAGTAATAAGCAATAATAAAAACATATACATGAAAAATAATACTAACTTCTTACAATTTTGTATGGTTAAAATTGTGCTTTTTTATATATCACGTTTGTGGAGAGTAGTTTCATAAGAAGCAATTTTCTTGTATGTCGTCTGAAACGTTCAACTTTCTATGCCGGTTATGGTAATGGTTATTATATTCTACACAGTTGAAGAATATTGAACACAATGAAACTGACTTTTTTTTTATTAATCTTATTTGATATATCAATCTTATTTGATATAATAATAATAATCCATGATTTTCAAGTAAGCCTTCGTTTGTTAATGATGGTAGTCATCTTACGTAACGATTCTTTTCTATCCATATCCGATATTAAAATGAATAAATATTTGACTATTTCGAGAGAAAATACAAAAGCTCTTCTCCAGCTGCTTTCCACATCTTACATCGACTTAGTAAAAATGAGAAAACATATTTTTTTGCGGCCGAAGTATTTGTCTTGTAACGATGTAGAAGCTTTTCTAAACACTTTATCTATTTTTTTATTTATATTTTCTATTTCTTCCAAAATGTGATCATTTTTTAAATATAAATAAAAACTATGTTATTACTAATTTTATCATTTATTCTCGGAAATATTTTGTCATTTCCTTCAAACTATTATAGTAGAGTTGATCTATACATATTTGTTATCCTCTAATTATTATTTTGTATCATACCTAGAATGATCTTTCGGATCGGAAGTTTTGCTATTGGAATCGTAGATATTCGGAAATACTTTATCATGTCCATATTTACAATACAATTAACAACTTCAACTTAACTCTGCAAAGCGCAGAGAATTTGTTCATTTTCGTTAGTTTTCTCTGTTCGATAAAAAAAACGTTTTGGCTGCAGCTTCAAGCAGGGTTAATTGTTTTAGTTCTAATAATAAGTCATTTTGCAAACATGCGAATAAACTTTTATGAGATTTGTTGCTTTAGTTTGTATTTTATCTGATTTTATGAAAAATAATTGAATAAGAAAACTAAATATGTTGATAATATACGCTTCACTTCGTTTTCACAAATCGGGTAGGACTATAATAACATAAAATGTTTTTATCCTAAAATAATCAGTGCTTTAGTAGTTCAATTTTGATTAATTCATCATATTTATGCAAAATTAAATTATGTTTACGCAAATACGCAATGAAATATTTTTTTATTGAAGTTTGCGGGGCCCCCTTAATGTTGCTAGGCCCTCCGTTAATCCGCCCCTGGTTGCCTCTAATGGATGTTTTCTTTGTAACGTATTTGTTAATTTGCCAGTGTATATATCTAATGCCAGCTCAAAGTAAAAAGTCTCTTATTTCGCGTTAAGCATTTTTGCAGACGCTTCATTTACTAGAATCTGCTCAGCAAAATATCCCATGGTAAATAATGTATGTAGTTATATACGAAAAATTATTATGTCCTGCCGATTTGTATTTAAATCAAATATATTTGCTTCATTACTAGTTATTCTGTTCAGATTCTTAAAAACATTGTTTATAGTTTTTGCAATATATTTTAGGCACATGTTTTTATGTTGAGCCTTCAAAGCAGAAGGGAGTTTCGTTTGTAAACCTTTCAAACTATTTAATTTCACCAAAAATTATAAATCTAGAGAAATATATGAGTAGGTAGGCCAAGATACACTTTTACTTTCAGCTCTGAAATCGTTTTTTTTCGAGTATTTAAAATTTATTAAAACATGTTTCCAATCACCTCAGGCTTACCAAATATTTGGTCCCCTTGCAAATATACTGCACTCTTTTATTAAAAAATTTTCATTTTGTTTTATGTCCAGCCAAACGCAGTCTCATACTTATCATTCGAACCAAGCTGATGACAATCAAATTATTCTTATTCCAATATTTAGCCGGGAGCTCCTTGGGGGAAAAGTGGAACATTCTGTTAGACGGTTAATATTTCCAGTCACGTGGCAGGGAATGCTTTTATATTCTACCAGTATTAAAAATTTGCGAGAAACGTCTTAATAATCCTGCATTTAGCATCTATGGAACAATCGCTAATCATATTAAAGTTGTTCTAAAGTTGTTCAAGGAATTTCACTTTGCTTTGATTTGCAAATTGTGGCAAACACCTGCTTGTTACGGTTGTGTTACCAAATTAATGCAAACTTCGCTCTCGTTTTAATAATGCAAAACTTTCAGTAACTTCATTTGCCTAGTTGAATAATCTTCTTATGGAATATGGCTTAGGCACACGTGCTTGTCATATTCTAAGGAAAATCTCAGATATTTCACAATCTTGTGAAATGGGGCAGATAATCAAAGTTTGGAGGCATAAAGGGATGCTTTACATTTCAAACCCAGTCATTAGTTTTAGTTGCATCTCAAAGTGACCAGAATTTTCCTAGATGGCATAAAATTATTTTTTCAGATGCAAGTGGAGAAAACTATGAATTGTGGTATTGTTCGGATAAATCCGAATAAAAATAAAGATCTGGATAAAGATGAACTTGAAAACTTAAATGAGAGTCATTCAGCAATAATTCCATTCTGAATAACTGAGTGGTTGTTCCAGTCGATAGATTTAAATCGCGTAAAACGTGTTGAAATATACATATTTTTGTTATATAAATCGCATTTTATAAGGCGGATTATTTTGTTCAAAAGTTAATAGGGTAAATTGCGTACAGGCGGCAGCGAAGTGGAATTTCCTTTTAAAGCAGCGTGATAAAATTGCCTCAGCTCCGCTTTGACAGGAAAAGACAGCTTGGGGGCATTGTTTACGCTTCTGTTTATTTCCAAGTGAAGTATTTGAAAGAGGCTGAGTTTTGTGTAATTTTGTCGCGAAGAAAAACTTTACATTCAAGCCTCTGGCATTAAAGGCACATTTTTCAGGTTGTCTTGTGAGCTGAGCTGCTCAGATCAACATACATTGTTATCAATCAATGCTCAGTATACTCGATTATGGAGTTGGGGTATTCGATCAATTTCGACCAAGGAAATTTCCATTATAGTGATGCTTTTCATCATCATCTGGCCAATTTTCTCCTTAATTTACTGCTTCGGACTATTGAAAATTGGCAAAATAATACAGTGTGTGAGTTAACTGCTTTCATTCTGGGTGTTAGTTACATAAGCTTCAGTGACTCCACCTCTTCATTAATTGTATGTTTAAAGGATGTGTCTAAAGCTTTCGAAGAGGAATTAACCAAAAGTACAGAATAAAAATTGAACTTCGAATTTAAAAATGGTCTAACGTAAAAACCAGAAAGAATCCATCCTATATTCATCAAACATCTGATGATTGTTATAAAGTACAAGTATAATAAGTTACTTATTATAAACTGCTAAAATATTACCACTTAAAATAAATCGCTGTAAACACCAACTAATTCATCAAATGCACTTTTGATGTTGCAGCATTTTCAACAAAATCCTCTCAAACATTGAAAATTCGTCCATGATACTCAGATACTGGAAGTAACTTTAATCTGTAAAATCTGTTTGTTCCAGGAGGCTTTTTCTGTACAGGATGGTGCGAAGAATGGGTGGTTCTGTACGAAGACTCAACACTTGCTTGGTATACAGACAAGAGCTTGAATAGGCCGAGAGGTTTTGTGCGAATTAGCGACGCTCCTGAGCTGCTGGCTGTAGCTGAGTGGACCAGACAGGTACCAAGAAAGCCGCGATTTCCCAGGGCATGCCACATAGGACAGCTACTAGCAGTAGGATGCCGAAAACGCCACGATGTTTATTGGTTGATGGGACAGACACCTGCTGAAATTAAGTAAGCGATTGACTGAAATTTATTCAACTTAAGTCTTAATTAAGACGGCTTTCTAAACGTTGGTAAAGGGGAATTAATGGGTTGAAAAACCATCTCCTGATGTTACGCTTGAAATACCAGTGATCATTTTCAAAACAAAAAAACGTATCCATTACAACAACTACATATATTTTGAGCTCAGTTTCATACAAATGTTTGATTTTAAACTGGGTTTTCCCATTTACTTCTTTTGTCGAATGATTACTTTGCATTTATTTATTGCCAATAAAATTACAATGTTGAATAGAACCAACATTATTGCTGTTATGTGGTAATTATTAACCCCATAATGTTATTTCAATTTTGAAAATGCAATTAATTTCAATTACCACGATTAAATACAAAATTGCATGTAGTCATAATTAATTTCCCATTGAATTTTGAGGTTGACACTATTCAACAGTTATTTTATTATTTTATCTAATTGCTTGACAATATTTCAATTGTGTACAATTGCGAAAGCATTTAAACAATTAAATATTAATGGTATTCCAGGAATAACTAAGTAGGCCAAAAGTGTAAATAGTTACATGGAGTAATATTTGCCGTTTCAATATTTCAGTTTTAACTTGATTAATTGTTCACATTTTGATACAAATGTTTGATAGAGACCCCTTTTTCAAATTTACACAGTCAATTGACTGTACTGAAAATACAAGCATTGCGAAAACATTTCATTTTTTAATTCGTTATTCGACCATAATAAAATCGAATTAATTTGTTTCATATTTATTGTTTTTTTCATGTGTTTTTCATTATTATGTTGTTTCAGCGATTGGATGACAGCTATCAGCAATACGGTAAGTCTAACCTGTTTAACGTTTAAATTAAATTTCAAAAAATTATGAATTAAAATTGAATATTGAGAGTGTTTGGGGAGCAATTAGGTAAATTTTTCTTAAAAGTACTTGTACTAGTGTTGAGAATATTATTTTAACCATGGATACGTCCGAAAATGGTTCTAGTTTAATACTTAAACGGTGACCATAAAAATATTTTGTTACGGATTTAAAGAATGCGGACATTTAATTTATATACAATTATAAACAATATTTATTTCTACGACAAAGCTATCAACCAACCGTGATCCTTTTACCGTCAATTTAATTTAATAAATGCAAAATTATGATAATTTGTTTTAAGTTTCATAATGATTAAATAGAAAAGCGCATTTTTATGCCGTAACTTTTCTCACTTTGAGTTAATGGCATTTTTCTATATTTTTCTGGCATTGTTCTATTCTGGGTTTACCATTTTTCAGTTTTGCTTCTAGGAGTTAAAGACTTCTGCTAATTGTTCTTTTGATCGTTTTGTATTTATTTCTTATTCTGTTATTGAATTTTCCCTTTTGCCATTGATGTAACTTGTTTTCAGCGATTTTTTTCATACATATTTTAATGGTGTAACTGCTTTTGTTTTTGTTCAACACTTGTCTCTCAAACATGTCCAAAAAATATCGAAATATTTATATTTGCTTCTATTATAGCTATGCCATATGATTAATTTTTATATAAGTTTTATAGTTGTGTCTTTATGTCTTGATTTTTTTTCACAAGTCTATCTTCATTTTAATTTGAGTTTTAATTTTCTGTCACCACGACGCTGTGCGATTCTTGTTGCTTCATTATTACATTTAAAAATTCTATTGTCCAGATTAAAAAAGGCTGTTTTATGAATATTTGCTAATTTTTTTATGGCTATGGTTTCTGTATATTTTTTTTGCAATCTCCATATTTATTAGTGTGTATATTATTAGCGTTTCTATTTCTAACATTTTTTCCAAACTATAATATTACTACTGTTTTTAGCTTGGCCTTTTCGCTGATATTACTTCAGTAATAACTTCTGTCGTTCGTCTTCATTACCATTTTTTAATTTTTACTTTCTGCTAAAACATATCGTATAAAAAGACAATCCTTTGTTAATTTTCTAGTTTCTCTGCACAGCTGTCTCTAAAAGTTTTGTTTGTAATTGCAAAACCGTACATCTCTTGTGTGTTTATAATTTTTATTGATATTTATATGTCTACCAGCGTTATTATTTATCATTGTTATTACATTTTTCCATGACTTTCAATAAAGCTCTTCTCTCTCAATCTCTTCAAAATACTCTTTTATATTTGAGTCATTATTTCTGATTCATTGAATTCAAGAGAATTTTGTTTCATAATTATCTCATAAAATTCTACAATTGCAGTAGTCAATCATGAATCTTGCTTCATTTGCTCCTTCGATTGCTGCACTTTATTCATACCAACATTTTCAACGTCATCAAAGCAAAATTTTATCACCCTGTAAAGCCTTAGCAAATAATTTTACTTCTGCCGTCTATATAATAAACGAAAATCATATTCGACAGCAAAATCGGTGGTTAAAGTATTTCCGATCTTTCATAAAATATATTTTTCTCATTTGAGGGAACCCAACCAATTAACCAAAACTCCCATCTGAATCTCAAAGCTAGATTTTCAAAATTAATACGTAGAAAGCTTTGTATTTCATCTTAAAACTCGGGTTGGCTTTTTTTTCTTCGAAATTTACTTCGCTTTATCGCCTTGCGATCTGCCTGGTCAACATTTTACAACTTTTAATGTCTATCATTCATATTTTTTTGCCCAACCCCATCTCTCTGGGTTAGTGACACTTCGGTTCGGCCAGTCCATTAATTAGATCTTCGACTCCAGAGGTCTCTTAAATGCCCTCGTTTCTAATCTGTCTCCGTTGAAAAAAAAGTTCATTCTTGAATTGATAGATTTCCTTTTCGTCTTTTTCCAAAAAGAGCCGTTCAGGTTCATAGTAATCAGTTCAGTTACACTGTAATTTAGTTCAGTTACACAGTTTTTTATTTACATGTTTTATCATTTTTATTCTAATATTAGTAAGTCGTTATCGTTTGCTGCTTCTCATATTATTGTTATTGTTATGTATTTTTCTTATCGAAAGTTACAGACTATGTCATACCGAAATTATCACTAGCTTTGGTATTTCAAATATAACACTGAATATTTCAACAGAGCACTTAACTTTGAGTATCTTTCATTAACGATTTAAATATTTACCTATTTTGCCTCCAAAGAAATATTTCAAGCAAAAACTGATTGAAGAGCTGTTGTTTTGATGTTTGTAACTAAATTAACCGGTTTGTAAAACTGCTTTATTTTAAGACCAAAATAAAAGAACTGTGTTGTAATTCTACAAGGTGTTTTGGAATTGCCGAGACTTGACGACTCAGAAGATTGGTAAGGCAAAATCATTATAAATATCCCACAGGACAATTTATATGGAACAATCTTCGATAAAATTAGAGAGTTATGTTGATCTTAACAAAGCGTTTGGAAAGCTAATCGAAGATTGATTGCTTGCTCTCTTATCTGAACATTAACAAAAAACTTATTTACATGTTAAATATTTTGCCATATTAACACATATGTGGTTATTACGGATTTGCACTTTTTAGTTTGTCTTCTTCCCTCCCCGTAATTATCAGGTCAGCACTTCTGCTTTAATTTTTATTAATCTGCTGTAGTGCAATCTTCAAAATTTACAATGTCAATGTTACATAATTTTTACGATAAAAATTTTACAGCTCTAACTTTTTGCGACTTCACGAAAATAAAACTCGACATAAATCACATCTCCTGAACAGAATCCCGAATTGTTCAACATAAATTAAATTTTTCTGAGTATAACATTCATTAAATCGACATAAAGTCGTAAAAAGTTCAACCATAAAAATGTGATGCTATCACAGTTTCCAACTCGTGGTAAGAATGGTTTAGAATACCATCAGAAAATAATGGCGTCCACATAAAATTTCAATTTGGCAATATTTCCACTGAAAGTATGGCTCACAACGTAAATTTAACTTCGATAAGATCAAACTGAAGTTTTAGTCTGATTTTGGCCCATGAAAAAAAAATCCAAATTTACATCAGAAGGTCAAAATAACTTAGCAAACTTGACCTAAGTCAAACATTGTTTTGTCAAACTCATTAACCCAACTCAGTGCCCAACTATACGCAAAGCCGATCTTTCGGTATAGTCCAACAGGGTTAATCAATTAGCACGGTAAATGACCGTTGTTTTTCCATTGGCTTTTCATTCGGACTAATTTCCGAACACTCAATTTTTTACGGGAATCCTTAACGTTTTTTACTCGATTACTGAAAGTGTGAAGTGTAATAAAGCAGGTTGACAGGACATTAATCAGCTCACTTGTCTGTTTGAATTGTTTCGTCTAAAGGGTGAAATTATAAACAGGAGGTTCATTAGGACACGTGCGGAATTGAAAACGTGAAGTGGGGAAAACGGCTTTGTGTTACCGGAAACTTAAATTTACCACGTTGCACACAGCATGTCCGCGTAGCTCACTTCATGAAAGACTTGTAGACAAATAATTAGTGAAGAAATTTAACTCGTTCATTAAATGGTTTCCATTTGAATTAATTTTTATGAAACCTCTTAATGTTGGAGCAATCAGATGATGAAATTGTACTAAGGATAAAAGTACAAAGTGCAAATAGTAGCTCCTACACTTCTTGTAAAATCCCTAAAGGTAAAAAACTCTTGGGTTACTTAGTTATTTCCAAGTGTTTTGTATTCTTCTCTTTAGGGAATGAGAAAGAAATGAAGCACGTTACGAAAGACACACAAACAGCCTTGTTTTTGAAGCAGTTTCTGCCGAGGAGCTCGTTATTGCCAGTTTCTATTTTTTTTACTTTTTTTAAACTGTTGAATTCAGTCACGAATGACGATCAGTTGAAAGTTTTGTCGTTTTATTCTTTAAGCTTGTCTAAATACTAGATCGAAATTATCTTGTTAATAGTATTTGTTCCATTTGATCCTGTTTTTAATTTTCTATATGAGTTCTTTTTCCTAATTGCATTTTTCTATAAATTTTTTTGGTTAACATTTCTTCGATTATTGTAAACTCACTTTATACTATTGTTCAAATGGTGTGAATGGAGTTGTTAATTCCAATTGGATAAATTTAGCTTTCATTGGATAAATTATTGTGTCGTGTGCCATAAAATTGTTATTTAGTAAAATTTACTCTTATCTGCGTTATAACATTGGCTTCCTTCTATCGCTTTAACGCAATTATATCTGGAAAAGCTGAATTGAAAATTAATTCATTATTAGGAAATACTAAATTAATAATTTAATAATATATTAAAACACATATAACTTTGTTGCTTTTATAGGGACCTTTTTAATCGGTTTCTTTAATAGCTTTCTTGTTTTTAATGGGTAAATAGTTCAATTTTTTTATATATTTAGACAAACTATCAATGGTGTGTCTGCAAAAAATTGCATCTACTAACCCATGAAATAGCAAAAATAAATAACCCTTCAGTAATTTCCAGGTAATTTTGGTTTCATCATCACTCGATAGCAAATTACACTGCATCCCAAGTTAATTCTAACTGATGTGAATCTATTTGTTTTAACTTCGAAAAAGTTGCATCCGAAATACGCCTCCGCTTCAAATAAACCATATATCTACCAGTTTATTCAAAATATAACTACAACTATTTATTAAATTAATTAATAATGTAAGTATGCAATTATAGTCGAGCAGCAATTTAAGCTCAACTTTTGGAGCTTTCAGATTTAACTCACTGTTTTATTCAAGAATATGAATCACCAAATGAAGAAGGCAATTATTATTTGCACGCTCGAATATTACTATCTAGTTGTGTTTCCGTGGCTGTTCCTGACAGCGTTGATGTTTTTGCGTTTTGTTCCTAACAGTATTTCGCTATCGAAATTTTCCCACTCAGTTCCAGGCCACTTTCCAGTGAAAAGTAATTATTTTCTTTGGTTTAGGAAACAAATTATTTCTATTTGAATAGGGTATACAAATGGGAAAACATTGCGAAAATTATTTTCCTTTTGATGTTATTTTAATTTAATAGTTAGACTTAATTTTTGAGATTTGTTTACCTGCATATAAAATCTCTATCAAAATCTCAATCTCTATAGCTTAATAAATAGTCTATTTTTTAGTTTCCTATAACATTAAATAGAATCGATCAATCGATGTCTACCATAAAATAATAATCATTTGTCATCATTTATCATTATCATTCATCATTCATGAGTCAGAGTATTCATGAAAAGCCTGCGGAAAATAAAGAAAAAATTAAAGTAAATGTGTAGAAAGAGTGGTTTTAAATTCTTCTTCTATGTGCCTTGTTAGGTCTACTTGACGTTGAAGATAAAATATTCATGTCGAAGAGTGCTTTGCCAGTTCAGAACGAGTTTCTGATGCCGAACTGAGAATTCATCAAAATGCTCCTTACATTTACGTCTACTGTGAGCAAATTATGCGGAGAAATAGTGGAATCAGAAGCCGATTAGACGATAATGCAATTTTCATCATTTGGGCTTTCAATTAAAAATTAAAGGTTTAACGCAGATATATTTTATTTCTGCACATTCTGTCTTCGTCCACTTCTGCTTGGCTTATTAGATCTCCTTTCTTATGTTTTTTGTGCTTTTCTGTATTTGGCGGGTTCATTCTTTATTAGTCCTCGGGGTTCCCAAATTTTTTTTTATGTGAAAAGTTTGCTAAAATTACAATTATTTTTCAAAATATGTAGTAGTGGCTCGACCTATAGATACGTTTTTCAAATTAAAACATAGAAAATGTTTGCATTTCTTGATTTAATTTCCTGATAACAGGAGATTAAAATTCCATTTGTCTTAATTATAACATTTTACAAACAAAATTGACTTGCTTAATTATAACGGGGCAAAAAGGGATCAAAAGCATAACGTTGGTTAAAAAACATTTTAGATCGCAGGCTAAGTGGAATTTTATTAGGCGCCTCAATAAACAACTTTGTTGAGAAAAATTTGTTAATTTTCAGAATCCACTGGATGGAACGTAATTTTATTGTGCAATTAATATTTATTATGCAATTATTTAAGGTTGCCGTCGGTAATGTGTGTTGTTAATTAGCCAAAGTGCTTTCATTCTCCCTTAAAACGGTTGTTTTTTTATTACCAAACAATACTTGTTTTTAAGAAATATTCAAAATGAATAAAAACATATAATTTTAAGCACGTGTAAGCAATCAACTGTTTTATCATTGAACCCGTCAAATATATTATTCTGCTAAACCAATGGTATTTTACTAATTCGCATTAAATAATTCAAATGAAGCATTTATTTAATACAATTTTTGCAATATTGGAAATATATTTAGCAAAATGCGAAGCTGAATATTATCTAGTGTTTCCACAAACACAAAAACCAATATGAATAAAAATAAAGGGCAATTGCAAATAGCATTTTGTTGCACTTCCAGTTTAAGTAACAGGCAATAAGGCAAAAAAAATCTGAAAATTTCAGCATTTACTAATTCTAACACATATAAAAGCATGGGCAACCGGACTAATTCAAACTAAGATACTTATATATGGAAAATAATTTGAGATTACTGCAGATATTTTCCGTCAACAGAAACTTGTGAAGAAATATTTTGCATCTACTGGTAATCGAAAATGCGATTTGCACATTTTACCCGTTCCTTTCTATTAATATTTGTATCTTCGATTCATTTTGTGTTAGATTTTAATTGCTTTTGATCCAACTGTTGGTACAAGTATTTAGATATTGTCTGATAAAGAACTGTGTTTAAGATTTCTCTTATTGAAACTACTAAACCTTATCAGAATAAAAGTTCAGAAAATATTTAAAAAAAATCTGTATTGAATTCTTCTAAATTGTGTCTCAATTTCAAGTGATAATTTTCATTTCCCATTTTTTTGCAGTCTTAAATATTACTTAAATAATTATTAAAATTTAAAACGCAAACGTAAATATTATTTAAATATTCAGTCTGTATTGATGAGTCTACAAAATGTTCAACAAGAGATCCAAGCTTTGTTCAACAACCAATCTTACTTTTTTTGTTTCCTTTATTGGTAAGGCATTAAACAGTTTTGGAACAGTCTATCCTATGCATTTTCTGCCTAAACTTTTGTATAATATAAGTATTGTATTGTATCGTACCATAATATTGTATTGTACCATATTATAGAAAAAGCTTAACTTCCATTTGATTGAATTAAATTTTACGATGTTCCATAAAAGTTACCAGCGCAGGCAAAACTAAATTCGAAATTGAGAAACATATCTACTTTTAGCTACATATTTGACTTTATATTTGAAACTATTTTTCCATCAGAACTATAAGTTCAAGACGTTTCCTTCAACGTTTCAGCTGGAGAGTTCGATCAAAATGCTCGTATAATTTTATTTTCATTGCAACTGTTCGTTTCAATCGTAAATTTTCTTCGAATTAAATTAGGAATTACCTTCAATTGCCCAACGGACACAACTGTGCTAGAAGGATAATGAAAGAACTTCAATTCAGTAAAACCTGTCTCCGAAATTCGGAGAGCAGCTCTGGTAATTGGATATTTAGAGCTTTCATACGAAACTGTAAAGAAAATATAATGTGCTTGATGAAACGAAAGTATACAATAGATTATTAACGGCAAACGAAAATTGTAATTCAGACGTCGAAAACAAAGCTAAGAATACGGGGTTTAAGGGTTTTGTTTGGGTGAAAGTTAAACAATACTGTATGCTCCGTTGTTTGAGATTCGTTGTCTTAACCATATTAATTATAAAATTAAATTACTGGAACTGGCATTTGACGTTCAATAGCATTCCTGCTGGGCATATTGAAATTTGGGTTTGGTAGGTTATTAATTTTGCAAAGGATTTGTGGAAAAGACGTATAAAAGACGCAATAATTCCATTAAGGTAAGTAAACATTGATGTAAAAAATCGAAAATTAGGAAAACCTTAAAGTTTGTAAGTGAAAGTAAAACTTACACGTAAGTACTTATAAATTAATTAAACAAACAGGGAATAAATTAAAATTATGAAGTAAAAAATTCTAAATCGCAGGTAAACTATTACACGCTGTTCAATTAAGTGTTATGAAAAGTGCCCATCAAACGGATGGTAGTGTTGATATATTTAGCATTTATTAAACAATGTTAAACTGAATCAAGGTATTCAAAGTTATTCACATTAAAAAAATCTGAGACTTTTTATCAATACAACTGAAAAGTGTTAACATTTTCCTCCCTTTCCGCGTTGCATCATAACTCTCGCAGAACTTTTACAATGGAAAAATTACAGTATCAAAAACAGACATGTCTTCATAAAATAGGATACAATATGATCAAGACACAAAAGGTTACGTCGCTTTGCATGCAGGCCCCTCTCTTTCATAGAAAGCATAATAATATACCACATATGAACGGTTTCTTTTAGTTTATGACATTTATTGCTGAAAGAATAATAACGTAAAGCTTTAGCTTCAGCTTTCCAATGTGACATTCTACATTTATGAAAGAAACCGCTCGTCCACTGAATATGATATAAGTAATCATGATTTTCTATTAGCAACGATAAAGTATATTTTTGAAGTAATGTTGATATTGGATATTAAATGATCAATGGGGGTGTGGAGAAACTAAACTCCCCATATGCAAATTTAACGTTTGTATTCAGAAGAAAGCATACTGGCAGCAATATTATTTTTTTGCTACAAACGTTGCTAAAAATTTTTATGTTTTTTGTAGAAATTAGGATTAATAAACATTTAATAAGTTATTCGGTTATGCAAAATGTCCTAATAGGACGCAACTCAGAATTGTAAATTGACCTGTTGATCGCTCTAAGGAATATAAGACTGTATCATTAAATTGACGATATCAGCTACCTTTTTGTTCATTTATGAAATTTCTATTTTGTGAAAACATACTACTTATATTTCGACATTCATCACGTTTTCACACAGGAAAGCACAAAATCTCCTTTCCTTTTATTTTTCTTTGCATAAACGCTCCCCATTTTCACAAAAGAACTGTAACAAAGTAAACAGCTCATTTGAACTGTTTACGGAGCTTCCGATAAAGACACACATAATAATATTTCATGCGTCATTTCACTTTTTTAGGCTTTCTAAACGCAAAACAACTACGGGGAATTGTTACAAATATTTTAGTTCTAGCAATTAAATAAATCGTCTACGTCGAGTGAATACACATCAAAACTTATGCCAATGGAAAGGAAACAGTATAAATAATGCCAAGCTTTCCACAACGGCAGCTTTAATGCTGAATAAACTTTGCTAGATAACCGACATGGGCCTAATTTGACAGGGTCTGAGGTTGAATTTCGTGAAATTTATGTGAAAGGTGTCCCTGTTTTAGGTTTATTATTAACTAGCATTCACGGGCCATAAGGAAAATGGAGGTTAAATAACTTAAATCCTCCTGGTAAATTATGTAGTGTCAATCTGGATTTTCCCAGTAAGCTTTCGAATTAGTCTGCAAACTTTGCTTATGATTTCTTATGAAAATAATGAAAAAAAAGCATTTCAAACTGGTCAACTACCGGATGGAATTCCTTTTATCTTGATATTTTCAAAGATGCCGTTCTTGTAATTTCAATGCCTTGGCTCGGTTGCGGGATTTTTGAGTAAGTACGCGCATTCTGTTCTGTTTATTTAAGAGAATTACATTATCAGTTGAATTTTGATACCCTAATTTTTGAAATATGCTTTTTTTTCTAACTCTAACAGTTCTTTAGTAGCAAACAATTTAACCGGCATTTACATAGGCTGACATTGAGTACAACATTACATGTGAAACCATTAATTTTAAGTTTTTATTAATACGAATAAAACTGTTTTATCACTTTCAGCTTCCACCACCGCCAAATATTCCTTTTGAAGACACAAAACTTCCAGTAACTCAGAAATCGATTGGAAATGGCCATGGTAAGTAAATGGATGTTAACGCGTTATTATAAAAAAAATACGTTAGTTTTTGCATGTGCTTAAACGTAGTTATTATGGCTTTTGCGTATGCACTTAGAGTGTCTCGACATATTAAATTTAGCGGTCGTTTAGACGTAACAATTGAAGAACAAAAAAACTAATTTAAGTATAATTAGAATATAGGATTAATAACGATTCAAAATGTTTCAGAAAACTCAATTTAATATGGACAGGACACAGGTTAATATCTTGGAAAAGGAAGGAAATATAATTTTTGATCTTTTTGAATGAGGTTTTGTATTTTTGAATTTAGGCTCAACACTAGCACTAAATCTAGAGGAATAACTTTCTACCAAACCGAGTACAGTCAAATAAACTGCTCAACAAAATCAATGTTACACTGACGAATTTCAACCAACTTTGGAACTCCATAAACTCTGACTAGAGCGAATTGATTTTTGTGTAAAGCGTCCAATTATTTTTCGGTTAGTACGTGCTTTTTCAAAAAAGAGCTTTTTCAAAATTGGTGATTCTGGTTCCGCGTGTTCTCGATTGGACAAAAAAAACGCTTTTTTGTATTTCAACACCACAAGAGTTAAGATGGACCTCATTTCTCGAAAAGCATTTTTTAATTTCTCGCTCATCCCGTTTATTTACAGAGTTACCTGAAAAATCAACATTTTGGCTTGTAATGATTTGTTTTCTCTAGAAGCCATTTACAAAACATTCATATGAAGGACTAGACAACTTTCTGAAAGTATGTGTCAGGATAATTTTTTAGATAGAACAAGATCGTAATTTTTAGCAGAGACGAAGAAGTTCAACGAAGACCTATACAAAATCCTCCGATTATAATTCTGCTCTCGAGAGCGAAAACGGTTTACATTGGATTCGGGCGAGCATAATTTTTAAATACCCTTCTAGCAAAAGATTTAAGAGTGATGGGCTGATTTTTTGCTCATTATAGTAGTTTAGCACACGTTTCGATTCGAAATGCGTCTTTTACATATCCGATTCCGATTTCGGTTAAATTACCAGACTATGCTGGCATTGCTTTGACAGGATTTAAACGCTCTCTAGTAAAATCGAATTCTAGAGCATGAATTAGAATCTGTCCTTTACAACTGACAAACAAATTCAATAGGTTTTATAGATAAGAGGTAATCTTAGCGTCGAAAACAACGGCGACAGAAGCTGGTAAATTGCTTCTCCGACTTCTATGTCGAGCAATTCAAGTAGTTGCACAGAATGGTCATATATCAGCGTGACGGTAATATCATACGGAATTAAAGAATAAATCGAAATGACAATTACAGCACTAGCAATTTATTGGAATTTCGATATTTAAAATTGAAAGTAACATTGAATTTCTACTGATTAATAAAAACATATAATTTTCAACAAATTAAAAGCTAAATTGTTGCAAATATTGCACTCTAAAGTGTTTCACAAGTTTGCATTCGTTTCAGCAGTTTAATTTGCTCCCATAGTTCTCTGTTTGTTTTATTAATAAAAAGTTGCTTTGTCGCTCATTTTGCAAGAGCTACTTAATATGCATCTTGGCTTGAACCAGAAATCTTTTACAAAACATTTTACGTCATTTTTTAATTTCCGAAGATCTTGCCCTAGACAACTGAAATTATTCAGTTACTTCGCTCTGACTTCGAAGATGGACTTTGGAAAAGGACATGGCCATTACGAAACCATATTTGTATTGAATTTGATTAACAACAGGAAAACAAATTAATTATAGTTTTTATTCATAGAGAACAATGAAAGTTTTTTTGTCAAGTAATAATAGGTGTATATTCTATGTATACGTAGTCAACTTTTATTGTTCTTATATACTATACAATGTCAATTAATCAATTTTCAGCGAGTAGCGAGTCAATTGTAAAAGGAAATTTCTCCGAATTTCTAAAAAAAAATACCTAAGATAAGCTATCGACGATTTGAGTGTTTCCAGAGCATCTAAGATGAATTGAAAGTCGGGTTCTAAAAGGAATCAAACGATCGTGAATGATTTGTAAAAAGTAAAAAAGCTTGACTCATGCAAGCTCATTTTTCGACGCTCAAATAGAGCTGCTAAGGTATACGGATAGTAACTTTTTTGGTTCAATCCACAAGAAAGCCAATCCATTATTTTTACAGTTATTTACGCAATTAGTAGTAACAACTTCGGAAAAAGTGTAATCCTTTGCCTGGAAAGCAGTAAATTTAGACTTTGTGCGAATTACTGCTATAAATTCGACGCTGTACAAATAGCAGAAAAACTTTTTATATTGCGACGTCCAAAAGTTCGGAATACATTTCACAAATCCATTCGAATGAAGTGGCCTGAGCGTTGCCTAAATTATACCAACTTTAATATAATCAAAACCAGGGGCTTTTTTGAATAAATCCAAGGATTGTGCAGATTATCTACATCAACAAATCATAGATTAAGTGCGAAATTCTCCCATCATAACAACGGAATTTTTTCATATGTGGTTCGTGCTCCCGTACGGTTTATTCCAGTCATAAGAGGGCAATATTTTGATCCTCAAACCCAACAAATGTTTTCCATTCAGTCCCTTGAAAGCCGTTTCATTGCCTTTGAGACGTTTACACAAACATTATACCCTCTCGGACAAAAATCTTCAAACCCTCATTATTACCAGAGCCCGGGATTGAGGACATGCTTCAGTCGTGTTTAAGGTAGAGAGATGTATTGTTAGCTTCTATAAATTCATCGTCGGGAACAGTAATTGACGAGTCAACAAACGTAACTAAACTTGAACAAGACATGTTAGATGTTTTAGACGGTTTGCTTTGTATCTGGAACAGACACTAATTACTTATGAATGGACTGTTCCCTTTGTTTGCATCGCTCCGAATTCAGTAATGGTTAAAAAAACATGAAGCATGTTTATATCCACATGTGAATATGAGTCATAGTGGTCAGTTTGAGGTCAAATGAAGTAAGAAAATATACAATTGAAATTAAAACCTAAAGATTTAAAATATGATTAAACTACAGAGGCAAATTACATTGAATTTTATACTTCAATTTCATTCAAAAATAGTTGCAACTAAAGTTTGTGTGAATATTAACACCCAAAGAACAAAAAATATTACTTTTCCTAAATATTGTCAAGTCTTCAGTATGGCCCAAGTTGACGATTGATTTTCACTTTGACAAAATACGAGTAATGTTCTCACAATCAGTCTGGCTTTCAATACTTTCTTCTGACACTTGAAGATTGTCCAGAGAGGATTGTCAATTTTACTGCTCTGCTCTTCAATTTCAAAATTTATTGCGTCCTTTTACATTTTTTTAGTTTTACTTATATTTATTTGATTTATAAAAACCACTGATTTACTCGATGTCAATAATGTCAATCATTTTTACTGATTGTACAACACCACACTTATTTGACTTAATTTGGTTGCATTTTGTAGAACAAAGTTCCTTATTTTATCTAAACGCTTGGTTTTTAAGTTTTCAACTTTGCCGTTGATTTACGTCCATCTCAAAATTTTTCAAAAATACTTTTTGCGGAACGAATATTTTAATATTAAAGTTCTAGGAAAGGCAGAATTTATTGCATTAATTTCCTCTTACCGCTGGGTAATTCTCAGACTAAGAAAGTACTGAAAATAATAATTAGTTTTTAATAAATTTTACTATTTTTGTGCAAGAATGTTTGCAATATGATAAATTACAGTTTGACGATAATAAACTTTTATCTGAGCACTTAAATGACGGACAATCTTGAAAGCTTAATACGATTTGTAGATAAGTTCTATATTGTTGAGGCGGATTCATTTTTTTACAAACTTCTTGTTGGGCATTTTGCCTCAAAAATTTTTGTCTTTAAAAAAGACAGAATTTCCTCGCGTCTTTTATTAGAGATTAATAAATAGTGCTCCTATTTCGCAATAAGAGCGAATTATTTATCAAAAAGTAATCAAGAACTATCACCTAGAGGGTATCCTGCGAAACACTTAGGCCCAAGCTGTAAGAGAAAATTCCAGTTAGTAAAGAAATTAATTTGAAAAATTACATTGACTTTTCGATAGCTATTTTCTGCTATCGTTATCAAAAGAACCTGAATGAACCTAAAAAAGAGTTTGTTAATAAATTGTGTAACAATAGTAGGATAATTAATATTAATATAATCTAAATTAATAGGATTATTATTGTCATTAGTGGTTACTTTTTCTGCAGACCGGTGGATTTTTCTTACCAATTTTCTAATTTTCAAATATATGTAAAGGGAAATTTGGAAACGATTTAAAATTTTATTATGGGTTTATTTGAAAAACAAAATGTGGGGAAGTCAGAGCTAAAATTGATTAATCAAGTTATGAAAGTTGGAACTGTTTGAGTGAGTTCAGTTATTTTCAAAATGAAAAGCTCAATGGTAGAGCCCCGAGGAAAGACCGGCCAAGTAACTTCGGAAAGCAAATATCAATATTCTCTCTCATAAACTTCATTGAAAAGCTCATCATTTCTGCGCTTGCTTTGTGCTTGGCAAAAATCGACAGGAAAACTTTAGCTGTGACTCTTTGCATTTTCGCCCGTATGGGTTACTGATAAGATCAATTTATTTTTGGATTTATTGATATTATACAAGTAGACTAAAATAAACGAACAAAATCAACTTAACAGCGTTGTTAAAATTCCTGCCCTGCGTGAACTTTGATTATTTGTTATTTTTTACAAGCTGCATAGCTTAATCCAATTGGAAAACATGCAATCGATTTTGAGTTAAAATCTGGAATTTTAATTAAAAAATAATCCGAAGTGTGCATTTATTTTCTGAAGTTAGCGCAATCTAATTTCCTAGAAAAACAAATAAAAGTAATTAGTAGGTTTTACTTACGAATAGTATTTTAAGTCGAGAATGTCGGTTTTCAAATTGTTTAATTTCCGCAAAGTTTAATTGCTGCTTGTTATAGACTTCTTTAATACATTATTTTTGTTTTTTGAATGTGAAATGTGTTACACCAGAACT